GAGAGGAGCCAAGCATGATACAAAAGCCAGTTATAGATTTGCGAGTATCCGGACATCTAGCCCAGTCTGCATCGGCAAATGCTACAAGCTTCAAGGCACTGGACGCAGAAAACAAAAGACCAGTAGCAGGGACAGATTTAAGATATCTTAGAACACGATTTGCAGCCTGCAAGTGAGGTAATCTGGGTTGAGACATGTACTGGCTTAAGTGTTGAATAGCATAAGAAATATCAGGTCTTGAATTGGTTAAATAAATCAAACGGCCAATCATCCTCCTATAAACAGTAGGATCTTACAATAGAGGCCCCTCATGAATGGAAAGTTTGAGATTTGGATCAAATGGAACAGAGGACGATTTTGCAGCCAGAACACCAGCATCTTGGAGTAGTTCCAAAGTATACTTGCGCTGATTCAGAAAAATTCCTTCTGTAGAGCGAGAAATCTCAAAGCCAAGAAAGAATCTCAGTTGTCCCAAGTCTTTGATCTTGAATTGTTGGTCCAAAGCTTCTTTGACACGATTAATCTCTATAAGAGAATTTCCTGCTACCACTATATCATCAACATAAACTAATAATGCAGTGAAATTCTGAGCAGAAGATTTAACATATAGAGAATAATCAGCTAAAGACTGATGATAACCCAGAGAAATAAGGAAAGTGGATAATTTGGAGTACCACTGCCGGCTAGCCTGTTTTAAACCATATAGAGATTTCTGTAACTTGCAAACTTTGGATGGGGAAACGCCATGAAGGCCAGTTGGAAGACTCATGTAAACCTCCTCATGTAAATCTCCATGGAGGAAAGCATTGTTAACATCTAATTGTTCCAAATACCAGCCTTTAACAGCTGCAAGGGAAAGTAATACTTTGACAGTAGTAAGTTTCGCAACAGGAGAGAAGGTATCAAAGTAATCCACTCCTTCCATCTGAGTGAAACCCTTTGCTACCAGCCTGGCCTTATACCTTTCAATAGATCCATCAGCCATGTGTTTTACTTTGTAAACCCACCTGCAACCTATAGGAACCTTACCAGGTGGAAGATCAACGACAGTCCAAGTTTGGTTCTCTGCAAGAGCTTCTAACTCAACATTCATGGCATTAATCCAGCAATCATGTTTAACAACTTGTTTATAAGTTCTAGGCTCAGATATGGCAGAGATAGAACAACAAAAGTGTTTAAAGGAGGGAGAGCATCTGTCATAGGATAATACAGATGAAAAAGGGTATAGGGTGGAATGTTGTTTAGAGGATTCAAGAGGCAAAGAGGGAACTTTATTGATGGTGTGGTAACAGTGATAATCTGTCAAATATACAGGAGGGTTGGTGAGTCTTGTGGAGTGTCTAAGTGGAGGGGGAGAATTATGTAAGACAGGGGAATCAATCTTAGAGGAAGATAAAGGAGAATGAGAAGATGAAGATTCACTGGATAAAGGTGAATTATCAAATGGTTGTCCAATGGATATAGCAGAGGGTTCAGGTACAGAAGTGAGTAAAGGTGAACCATTATGGAGGGCAGGGATAGAGGTAGCAGTAGGACTAGCTGGGAAAACAGGGGAGACATGGATAGTAGCAGAGTTAGGGCTGCTGTGAGAAGGAAAACTGTCATGACTAGGAGTTTGGCTATGGATAGGAGTAGGAATGGTATCATCCATAGGAAGGGATACATCAGTAGATATAGGAGACTGCTGAATAATGGAATAATCATCATACAGGGGTGGAAATTGGGATGTGTATTTAGGAGTATGAGATGGCTGATGTGGTTTAAAGGGAAAGTTATGCTCATAGAAAATCACATTTCTAGACACAAAGATATTATGGTGAGTTAGGTCATAAAGGATGTAACCTTTGGTTCCATCCTTGAATCCAAGGAAGACAGATTTCCTGGCTCTAGAATCAAACTTGGTCCTATGAGATTGTAGAGTGGTAGCAAAACCCAGACATCCAAATACTTTCAAATGAACAATAGAAGGTGACTGTTGAAAAAGAAATTCATAGGGGCATTTGAGTTTCAGAATAGGAGTAGGAAGCCTATTGATGATGTGTATGGCATGCTGTATGCAGAAACTCCATATGTTTAAGGGAATATTAGAGTGAAAGAACAAAGTCCTAGCCACATTTAGAATATGTTGATGTTTGCGTTCAACCACCCCATTTTGCTGAGGTGTTTCAACACAGGTTTTCTGGTGTATTATGCCTTTAGATGCAAGATAATCAGACAATGCCACAAACTCAGTGCCATTATCAGACCTTAAGCATTTAAGTGAAGTATGAAAATGATTTTCTATATAGGCTATAAACTTGATAATGTTGTCTTTGGTTTGACCTTTACTTTTGAGAAAAATTGTCCAGGTGTATATAGAATAATCATCAACAAGAGTCAAAAAGTACTTGTGACCTAATACAGATATAGTGGAAAAAGGGCCCCAAACATCAGCATGCAGAATTTCAAAAGGAGCATTAGTTTTGCTATAACTATGAGGATATGGCAGCCTTTTTTGTTTTCCAAAATGGCAGGAATCACAGGGTATATCATTGTTACATCTTGAAGATACAAAAGGAAAAACTTTTGAAATGTATTGTAATCCTAAATCAGAAACATGGCCTAATCTCATATGCCAAAGATTACAAGGATTTTGAGCAAAAGAATGAAAAGCACGATGTTGAGTGGAGAATTCAAGGACATAAAGCCCTCTTTGAAGCTTAGCTATACCAATCATTGCCCTCGAATGATTCTGCACAATTTTGCAAGAATTATCAGTAAAGTGAACAGAACAATTATTACTGTGGACAAGTTTGGCAATTGAAATCAGGTTAACATGGAAGCTTGGTATGTACAGAACATTATGTAAAACTAAGGCAGATGAGATAGTAATACTACCAGAAATTGAAGCAGTCACCTGTGATCCATCTGGTAAACTAACATGAATGGGAATTATGGACTCGTAATATGTAAAGGCTGTAAGATCAAAGGCAATATGGTCGGTAGCACCAGTATCAAGAATCCAGAGATAGACATTATTACCTTGTTCATTGTGAGAATGAGAATTTAGGGCAAAAAGTGATGTGGAGATGGAGTTGGCTTGAGAGGTGAGTGTAGACTGCTGAAGTAATGCCAGAATGTTGTTATATTATTCTTGAGTAAAACCCAAAGAGGACTTGGATGAATTTTGCTGGGAAGATTCTGAAGCTGTATCGACAGGCGCATCAGTTTGAGCAACATAGTTGGTGGATTTACCTTTGCTTTTGAATCCAGGTGGGTATCCATGCTTAATAAAGCATGTCTCAATCGTGTGATTATCCCTGCCACAGTGTGTACACACTCGACTGTGGCCTTTAGCTCCACTATAACTTTGTGACTTTCCTTTGCCATAGCTGTTACCTGATTTGTTATTACCATTGCCATTGGAAGAATGAAAATGAAAAGCTGCAGATTCTTCAGAATTGTTGCCAACTGTAGAACTAGAGTTATTCAATTCTCTTTCTTGTTGAATAACCAGTGAAAAAGCTTTATCAATTTCAGGTAACGGGTTCATCATCATGATTTGAGACTTAGAATGAGCAAATTTTTCATTCAAACCCTTAAGGAAACGAATTACATAATCTTGTTCACGATATTGACGAATAGATGCAAGAGCACCACATGAACATGGAACAGTACAACAACAAGCAGTAATGGGACGATAAGTCTCAAGTTCATCCCACATCACTTTCATATGTGTAAAATAATTTGAAACATCAAGAGTACCTTGGCGGAATTTATACAGATCTTCTTGAATGTCAGAGATTCTGAATATATCACCATGAGAGAAGCGAATTTGCAGATTCTTCCACACGCCAGATGCAGTATCAATCCATAGAACGGATTTAGCAATGGAATCTGAAATAGATCGGTGAATCCATGTTAAGACCATTGTATTGCAGCGTATCCATGGAGCATAAAGTGGATCAGAAACATAAGGTTTCTTGATGGTGTCGTCTATGAAACGTTCTTTGTTCTTGGAAATCAATGCGATATGCATTGATCTTGCCCATGTATGATAATTCTTGTCATCAAGTAATGGTGAAACTAGAACAAGAGACAGATTTTCGCTCGGATGAAGATAAAAAGGGTTCGAAGAATTTGTGGAAAAATCGTTGTAGCTCTGGTATGCCATCAGAAGAGAAAGGCGAAGAAAAGGATTGTGAAAAACAGAAACAGAGATGCAAACGACCAAGAAGAAAGAAAGAAAGGTTCACAATCAACAAAAGATCGCAACAATGGCTACCAGAGCAGTTCTTGCTCTGATACCATGTAAAAGGTGATAAGCTCACATTGGTGAGATGCTGGAAGAAGGAAGAAGAATGCAAGTAGCAGTTGAAAAATGTAACAGAAATCAGTTACTATGCTGCACCAGAACTTGTTCATTTTATTGATTGATCAATATAGGGTACAGTAAGTAATATATATACAAAGGATAAAGGATAGAAAATGAATGGATAACAAAGGATGTAAAAACAGTATACGTGACATCCCCTAATAGGCTAAAAACCATAGAATATATGAGAACTAATTCTATCTATATAAACTAGGATATTAACACTTTTCCTTTAGATGGATGATTTTAGTGACAATAAAAACCAAATACATATGGTCATGACATGCATGCATCATATGGTTCGGTGCTGGTGTGATGATATATTATACAAAACAAAACAAAACAAAAGAAGCCAATATGAGAAAATGACAAAAAACAAGAATATGGAGCGACAAAGCAGCGTGGTGCAAAACGGGCGCAAGACGGTGGTATCAGAATCAGAGCAAACCGTTTTTTACAGCCGTACAAGTACAGTACTACCCCCTCTCTCTCTCTCTCCAAACTCACGGTTAACATTTTGTCTTTTCATGAAACAAGTCTTAACATTTTCAAATGATGAATACACGAATACTATCACTCCTACTATATAATATCTCCTCCCTCCGCTTCACAACTTTTTCATACTCATTCTCTAGCTTCAACCAATATGGACCCAAATTCACACTCCATCTTTTCCGGTAACACCTCCTCCTCTGCCATAGACCCAATGTTCTCCACCTTCACCCTCCAATCTCTTCTCAATTTCAACCCTTCCTTCTTCACCGACAACTTCCACGCCATAACCGACCACCCTCATCAACTCCCCAGCCTCCCCCGATCCCTCACTGATCAAACTCCATACCTTAACGACAACAAAAACGCTCTCATAGTCCCCAAAACCGAACATCCTCTTAATCTTCCTCCATTACAACATTATCTCCCACTTCAACAACAACCCTTCAACTTCTTCCCCCAATACTATCCACCCTTTGAAACTTTCCACCATCTCCCTCAACTCCATTCCCCTGAACATTCCAACACAAAACGCCTCCGCCACCCGGAAACAACTCCACCACAACAGAAACAACCTCACTTTGTCCGTGGAAAATCTCCTTCTTTGATTCCTCAGAGCAAGTTAGCAAGACAGAGAAGACAAACTCTAAGCGAGAAAACACGCTGTTTGCAGAAACTAATGCCATGGGATAAGAAAATGGACCAAGCTACCCTTTTCGAAGAAGCTTACAAATATGTTCAGTTTTTGCAGGCACAGATCTCTGCTCTTCAATCAATGCCTTCTCATTCAACCACCACCACCACCTACAGAGGCGGCGGAAATGGTGTTTTTGGTGAGCTGAAGAAGCTGAACAGAAAGCAGGCTTTGCAGGTTCTGGTAAACTCACCGGTTGCACAAACAAAGCTTTGTTCACAGGGTTACTGTGTTTACTCCATGGAACAAATCTCTGTGCTCAGAAAATCTTCAGAGAGAAGACAAGAAGAACAACAGCAGCAGAATATGTCTGATAATGCTTCTTCTTCCAACACTTTCTTCCACTAAGAAGGCACAACACGACATCGTTTAATTATAAGATCTTTTAAGTGTCATTATTTTTTGCTAAGTGTTTAATCTGTTTCTGTCAAGCTTTCTAGTGATTTTCTTAGTATTAACTTTTTTGATTTTTAGGAAGAAGAAGACTTTCGCTTAGTAATGTGTTAAGTTCTAGTTATGGTTAAAGAATTTGAGCGTTTTAATGTTTGATATGCTTTGCTATAGTACTGAATTTCTTGCTCTATTGCACTGCTATCTTTATTGTATTATTTTAAGTTGTGAGTGTTGATTTTCATAACCATATTGGTATAAGCCTCAGGTAAGAGTGTAAAACAAGTAGTACTCCAAATTAGATTTAAAAAGTTTGATACTTGAATTAAATTCAATTATTTGATTAAAATTCAGAGACATGGGAAATTCTTTCGTACAAAATATTATGCTAGAAAAAACTTAATAGAATCAAGCTAATTATAAAACCACGGAAAAAAAGTGATTCTTGCAATAATATTTGCATTACAAGAATTTCATTCATATTTAATTGGCTCCAATATTATTTTGTCACCATGTATCATGAAATCTGGAAATATTTATGGGATAAAGGAGAATTAAACTCTTGGTTATTGTTACAAGATTGAAAATTTCGTGGCAGATCTTTTGTTTAGATTGGAAAATTTTCGAAGTAGGTGCATAGTGGAGAATTAAAGGAAGGAACATAGTGGGAGAATTCTCAGACGAGAAGTTGTTTGCTATTTTGGAAAGACCTTGGTTTGTTGAGGTGACAAACTTTAAAGTCCAAAATTTAGAACCATAAGATAAAATGGTAGCAAAGAAGGAAATTTTATAGTGAGGCTATGTATTATTGGTGGAAACAAGGTTTAGCCAATGAGTCGTTCTTCTGAATTACAAAATTAGATTACTTGGTTTATTATGTAGATCAGAACTGATTGTCTAAAAAAACTCTTAACAGATTGCTCAGAAGAAAGAAGCAAACAAACAGAAGTCTAGACAGACTTGGTTGAAGGAGGGAGATCAAAATTTTAGATTCTTTCATAATGTGGTGAAAGATATGATAAACGTATGATAGTGTTAGTTAGAACTACTTAAGGTTCATTCTGAGTAAAATGGGTTTTGGTGGCAAGTAGATTAAGTGGATGGAGGCATGTGTTTTCAACAGTCCCATGTCAGTGCTTGTGAATGGTAGTGTCACTAAGGATTTCGTGGTTGAAATGGGCCCTTAGGAAGGGAGACCCTTTATCTCCGTTCTTATTCCTTTTAGCCATGAAGGGTTTAACTTGCTTGGTGAATAAAGCAGTGAAGATTGGTGAGGACAGAGTTTTAGTGTCAATCAAGAGATCTTAGTTGACATTCTTCAATTTTCCGACGACACTATAATTTTAGGTGACAGAGGTAGTAATAATCTATGGAGTGTGAAAGCAATCTTGAGAGGTTTTGAGATGATTTATGGTTTAAGGGTTAACATCCACATAAGTAACATCCACGGGATCAATATGTGTGATATGAGTATGCTTATTGCCTCTTCATTTTTGTGTTGCAGCATCAATCATTTTCCTTATAGATTTTTAAGGGTGATGATAGGGGACAACCCTAGGAAAGTTCATTTATGAAAAGATCTCTTGAGTAAGCTTAGGAACATGTTGTCGATGTGGAAAGGGTGGAATCTCTTTATGGGAGGAAGAGTTGTGTTGATAAATGCGGTGTTGAAGGTGATTCCTATCTTTTATTGGTCAATGTAGGCGATTTCCAAGGAAGATAAGGTCATTCTTATTTTCGGTGCACCACCCATTTCAGGAGAGAGGCAAGGATATGATATCTCTCTCTTTCCAAGTCTTGACCATTGAAAAGTTCCAACACTGGAAGGGACATATTTCATACTCTTGAGAACATTTTTTACATGTCCCTACATGAGGAGATAATGTAGTCATACCATCCATAAAAATCTACACTCATGCCCTTCACACCTCTTGTCATACTATGCACGCTGTCATCCTTGGGATTTATAAGAATAAACTGGTTGAACACTATATTCTATAAGAATAAACAACATTGAGAGTTCCATCAGTCTTCACCATAGTCTTAAAAAATTCATCAGACTTGGCCAAGAGTGTTACTCTATCATTTATAAAAAAACAGCTACCAAAGCAAATGGCTTTCTGAAAATAGACATAAGAACTAGAGAGTTTTCAAATATAGCTCTTCCTGACTCCCGGAGACATAAAATGCTGAGTTGTTGTCCCAACACCAACTTGGACACGGGTATATTTCATAATGATCACACCACTGGACTTACTTCTGAGAGTTCCATCTATAAAAAACCAACACACATGAATAACCAAAACACTTCATGATGAACCACATATAATAGATGTCTTCTTCACTCTAGTGATCTTCCATTCTTCCTTGTTTTTAGACAATTATTTATCCCCCTCAAGAGAAAATCCAAAAACAATAAACCAATATGAACTTCTCAAGTTCATACCTCAGAAAGGATGTCATAACATTTTGTAGGACATCATTCACACACACATATCACCATCAGTAATAGTAGTAGAGACATACTATAGCCACGGGAACAAGACAATCTCGATCATCTTCAAGTGATCTTCCACCTCTTGACTCTATCAAATAGCCTCTTGCACTCATTGAGTTAACACAAATTTTATGAGAGTTATCACTAACCTTTCCAGTCATCAAACTCTTTTTCAAGTCAGCCTTTTGTAGAGATTTTTTGTTCCACCCTTTGACAATTGTAACTACAATAACATGGAGGAAAGATAGAGACTCTAGCATTCCTTCCCACCAGTAATTGCTATAATTCCTTAAGAACTCCAATAACATTTAATTTTTCTCTAATAGTGTTTGTGATACGGTGGCAGAACCAACTATTATACTGGTTTGCATTTTATATTCACAAATATGCAATAAGCAAGAGTAGCCACTGACTTTTCTTTTATCCAACAAAGGAAAGGGTGAAAAGAAGAGAAAATGACCTTTTTTCAAGAGTTTCTGAGTAAGGGGGATAGATTATGGAAAGGGAAGGTGTTAACACCCTTTCCATCCGTAGTTTTCTACGGGCTCTTAGAGGTTTGCTCATTTTAAAATACCTTTGTGCTTTGTGTGTTTGAAAATGTTTTGAAAATTGCTTTTTTGAAAAGTTTTTGTGTAGGTGCAAAAAGTTGTTTTGAGCAAACTTCTAACAACTATCTACTTTTATACTCGAAAAAGGTTTGTTCTTTTCCTCCTATCCTTTAGACAGTGCTATCCTACTATTAGTGAGTAGGTAGCCCCATCGTTGGATGTTTGAGGGACAATCGAAGGGACGTTTACAGTCATAAAGGCAACATGTAGAGACATTTTAGCAATTTTGTTTAGGGAATAGATCATTTACCTAAAGGTAACTGTAGGGTCATCGAGGGACTATGATCTTTTTGATTTACGGGTCTTTGCTAAAGTGTCCCCGTTTCGAGGGACATGAATGTTTTTCCGAAGGCAACCGAAGCGAGGATACCCTAGAGGTGCATATGTGCATATGTGTTAAATTCGATTATTTATCTTGCATTATTAAGTTTTCTAACGTGTTAATTTTCAATCTTATCATGCACGCCTAGTTACTAACAGTTAATATTTACAGAAATTTAAAGTGCGAAAACTTAAATCCTAGACTGTTACAACACTTTGGGACAACTGCATAAAAAAGTGCAAGAAAATAAAGTGCGGAATTTTAAATCTAAACTATTACATCCCATAATCAGTTACATTATTTATATAAAATGCGAGAATAAAAATAACGCGCGCGAAATAAATATTACACCTAAAAAACCTAAGGAAAATTCTAAGTAAACAAGAAAATCTTTTTTTGGTTTTATTAAGAAAAATAATTAACTCTAAATTTAATTTTAATTAAGAAGGTAAAATATAGAATGAAATTAATACTAATTCTAAATTTTTTGTATTTTTGTTTTATATTTAAGAAAATATTTGAATTAAAATGAACCTAAGTCTAATTGATTTTAAATTAATAAAATAAAATTAAAATGATTAATTAATTAATTAACATAATATTTGAAGAAAAAAACCTAAATCTATTTATTAATTTTTTTGATTTTTTATGATTATAATTAAAAAAGATTAAAAAAAAAGAATAAACAATTAAAACAAAAAAAATGCATGTTGGGCCTGATGTTATAGGCAATCAGGGGGGTATGAGTTTTAAAACGTTGGGCCCAAACCAACTAAGATCTAGATGTTGCATTTGATCTTCTGTTGCTAGCCCTTGAAGGTCTACCATGAGACTACGCGTTGAGATGTTGGATCTGGATCAAGTGGTGATGGACTGATGGCATACGGTGCATGTCTGGTCACACAACACATGGGATCTGCATGAAATGGGTTAAAAAAATGCAAAACGTTGGACTTAGGACTCGAACCCAGGTCCCTTCCCTCACATAAACACGCCTTTACCAGTTGAGCTGCCATATCATTCGTTTATACATATCAAGCAATAATAATATATTAGAAAATCAACGCAATTATTTAAAATTAAAAAAAATGCGCGTGCTACTTTGATTGGCCAATGGGAAGCTGACAACCATGGCGCCAGAGTCAAACATCTCAGGGGTGCCGGAGTCAAACTTCGGTCACCCTCTCCGGTCACCGATAAATCCTATAAACTGCAATCAACAAAATCAAGACTTGAAATTAAGGCTACCCCCCCTAAATCGGGGTCTGCCAATCCAACCATGGAATTAGTTTTCCCAGAAGTGGCCTCTATCTCTGGAACTGAAACCTTTATGATTTTAAAACATAGCCATGGCAACTTGTGATTTAGAGCCCTAACTTCACATGTAAAACATTAGAACATCTCAAAATGATTAAACAAGCAAGAATGTATGCGTTAAAACTGTTTAGAATGCCTGCATTAAGAGATTCATTTTTTTAGAAATTTACCAAAATGAACAATCTTATTGGTCAATCTCAAGGTATCTTAGGCG